TGGCAATAATGGTATTTTAACAGAATAATTTTCCACATGATGTCCCACAGTTTTAAGGTGCATGACAACATTGGGCACATTCTAGTGTTTCTTCATTTAGAAGATGACTTTAGAAGAAGGTTTATGAGATGGAGATTCCTGCCCTGAGCTTAATTTTTTAGAGGGTACAAATTACAAAATTAAAATTTTTGGTGGCTGTTCAATTTCCACTGTATTTTTTATAATTTGATTGCTGCAAACATGCAAATTATTGTGATCAAAATAACCTAAAATTGTTCAGTACATATGTAAATCAGTTTTTTCCAATATTTTGATAGGTATGGTAAAACCTCTGAGGTGTTGTTTGTTTTTTTTTTTTGTTTTTTTTTCCTATGTGTGACCCATTGGGAAAACTTCCCCCCACTTCGTATCTTGTAAGCACAACAGGAAGTGAAAAGAAAACATTTCCAAAATGAGAGAAAAGCAGAGACGGAGGCAGTTATTACCAGAATAAGCAGCTGTTGCAATTGTCTCTATTGAAATATTTCTTCTCCATTCCTAGCTTAGTAACAACTGAAAATTTTGGATTTTCCTAAAGCTGGCCATACAGTACATTAGTAGAATTCCATTCAAACATGTTTTTTGTAAAAATGTTCATTTGATTTTCTAATCATTAGATAAGTCATAAGTCGTGTGTGATTGGTCTTGGTAAATAATAAACTGGATGTACAGAAACACAAATGCTTTGGTAAGAAAGCAATAAAAACCCGACAAAGGTTCTTACTGTTCCTCATGCTATCCACCAACAAAAAGTTATGTCTGAAATTACTCCTTTAAATGCTATAAATGTTTGATAGTTCAGGAGAAGTTGGTAATAAAGGGTTTTCTTTCATAGAACTGAGTCTGGCATACATTCTTATGACTACCGATGTTGAAACATAGTATTGCCAAATACCTTTCTCCTATTGCCACAGAGAAACTATATGTATTAGTTGTTGCCTATTTTTTTTCCTTTCAGTTCTTTAAAGTGCACCTGTCAAGAAATTATTCACACATAATGTGTAACTTTACCAACATGTCACAATCTACAGCCACAAAATAATTAAACCATTCCTCGCCCGCAATGTACTGCGGCCAGGCGGCAGCTACAGGCAGAGCGACATACCCGCAGTTCATGAATGAGTTTGGTTCTTGACAGCAAGCTTTGCATTGCAGGAGAAATTATCTTTATTTCAACTGCAAAGCAAAATGTAAAAAGAAAAATCCCTGATTCCCCCCCACAGTAGTACAGTGTTACTATGATAACATTGTACTATTCTGATAAAAGTATTTAAAAATATAAATAAAATGTTAAAAAAAAATTCTCAATATGGTATTTTTTTTAAACTACTTGCCAACCGGTTACCCGCATTTTGCAGGCAAGCAGCAGATCTTGACAAAGCAACGTAATCTTGCGTCGCTTCCTATTTTGGGGTGTGAACACGCTTGCACCCCCTGTCGGTCCAGGGAGAGAAGAGAGAACACGGCACTGAGTAAAAGCACTACATTTTACACGCACATGCTTGCACATTTAACCCTTTGATCGCCCGTCACCCAGCCAGTGCCATTAGTACAGTGTCAGTATATAACATTTTTCACTGATCACTGGATTACTGCCACTAGCAACATCAGATAACGTCAGGGTCTGTAAGCACCCCACCCAGCCAGGGTCAGCTAGCGTTAGGTTGCCCATACACTATCACACTCATGCTATGGGTTGCTGATCACCCCCATTACTAGTATAGTGTTTGTACAGATCAATATAATGATCATGAACAGAACTATACTAGTGCCTGCTTAGTATAGTGTCTCCAAAAATGCAGTGCTAGCAGGATCAGCCTCGTTCGCTGCCAGCACTAGCATTTAGCCCTTCTACTGTTTTTCACTGAAGATTTGTACCAGTTGATTGTGGGCCAAGGCAATTTATACGCACAACAATACATGGCCGCCCACCCAAATTCAGCTCTTGCCAGACAATTCGCATGGAAACCTATCATAGTTTCTGAATTTAAAACTTTTTTGGGCCTAACCCTCAACATGGGCATTACAAAAAAGAATGCATTGTGGTCATATTGGTCCACAGACTGATTCATCATATGCCCATGTTCTCTGCTGTTACATTTATGTCCAACATGGACCAGCAATGTACCGGTACATCGCTGGACTTTGAGTGGTTATATCGGGATGATGCCCGCAGCTACAGTCATCATCCTGGTATCGTTTTTTCAGCTGGAGGTTGGCTGTCATGTAAAAGCAATCCTACTGGCCAGTTAGTTGCTAAATTGGTTTTACGAGCAGCGGGAAGGGACACTCCACCTCCCCCCCGCCCCGCCACCTTCCACAGTTTTCTTCGGCTCTCCTGTCCCACAGGGGAATCCAAGAATGCAGTCAGTAGATCCGCTGGTTGACCATAGAGCTGAACAGAGACCAGATGTCTCTAATCATCTCTATAGTCTAAGAAATCGGAATCTACGAGCATTTCATCACTTCAGTTTTGCAGGATATAAACAGTTCCATTTGTAAATTGGGAAAGCATCTGATCACACCGATCTTGGTGAGATCAGATGATGTAAGGGCAGAGGAAATATCTACACCCTGTTCCAAATTATTATGCAAATTATATTTTTTTCATTTACCTATATAATTGATGTAAATAGTAGCATAATTCTCATGTTATCAGCTATTAAGAGTACAATTCAAATTTTATTGAACAAACCTCCTAATGATAACAGTATTTTTTTTAAACATACAATGCACTGTTCAAAATTATTATGCACAGTAAGTTTCAAAACACTTTATAGGTTGTAAAGAACTGAAAATTGTCATTTTGTTGTGTTTGCAGCATATTTACTGAAATCAAAAGCTATTTCAATCAAACTTTTAACAACATTTTAACTTTTTAAACATTTTAACAGGTCATGTTACATTTTAACATAGGACCCCTTATTTGATAGCAGCTTCACAAGTCTTGCATCCATTGAACTTGTGAGTTTTTGAACTTTGACAGTTTCTGCTTGAATTTGTTTGCAAGATGTCAGAATAGCCTCCCAGAGCTGCTGTTTGGATGTAAACTGCCTCCCACCCTCATAGATCTTTTGCTTGAGGATCCTCCAAAGGTTCTCCAATAGGATTGAGGTCAGGGGAGGATGGAGGCCACACCATGACTTTCTCTCCTTTTATCCCCATAGAAGCCATTGATGCAGAGGTATTCTTTGCAGCATGAGATGGTGCATTGTCATGCATGAAGATGATTTTATTACGGAAAGCATAGTTCTTCCTTCTGTACCAGGGAAGAAAGTGGTCAGTCATAAACTCCACATACTTTGCAGAGGTCATCTTTACACCTTCAGGGACCCTAAAGGGATCCCTCTGTTCCCATGATTCCGACCCAAAACATGACTCCACCACCGCCTTCCGGATGTCACAGCCTTGTTGGAACAGGGTGGCCGTCCACCAACCATCCACTACTCCATCCATCTGGACCATCCAGGGTTGCACGGCACTCATCAGTGAACAGGACTGTTTGAAAATTAGTCTCTATGTATTTTTCTGCCCAATGCAGTCGTTTCTGCTTGTGAGCATTGGTTAGTGGTGGCCGAATAGAAGGTTTATGCACAGTTGCAGGACTCTGGAGGACTCTACACCTTGATGTCCGTGGGACTCCAGAGGCACCAGCAGCTTCAAATATCTGTTTGCTGCTATGTGATGGTATTTTAGCAGCTGCTCTCTTGATCCGATGCATGGATCTGGCAGAAATCTTCTTCAATGTGCCTTTATCTGCATGAACCCGTCTGTGCTCTGAATCAGCTACAAATCTCTTAATAGTGCGATGATCACGCTTCAGTTTTTTCATGAAATATCTAATGTTTTCATACCTCGTCCAAGGCATTGAACTATTTCACTCTTTTCGGCAGCAGAGAGATCCTTTTTCTTCCCCATATTGCTTGAAAATGGTGCTCTGCTTAATAATGTGGAACACCCTCCTTTAGTAGCTTTTCCTTAAATTGGGCTCACCTGCCAATCTAATTATCACAGGTGTCTGAGATTGTTTTCAGTGATCAAAAGAGCCCTGACACACAATGCCATCCATGAGTTAAACTGAAAAACAAAATATTTAATCTTTGTGACACTTAAATAGAATTTGCATAATAATTTAGAACAGGGTGTAAAGTCTAATAGATCCCAAATTTCTCAAAAAAGAATACCTGTCAAAGCCTATTTAGGTCAGAGAGGATATCTACATTCCGTGATGGCAATGAAAGTGATTAAAAAAAAAAGGGGACAGTTTAAAAATAATAAAAAATCAATATAACTAAAAAAAAAAAACCAGCCTTGCCCCATGCGTGAGCAAGAGTTTACCCCGTGTCGGTACGTAAACAGCAGTTGCACCACGCATGTGAGGTATTGCCGTGAACGTCAGATCGAGGGCAGTAATTCTAGCACTAGACCTCCTTTTGTAAATATAAATTGGTGACCTTTAAAGGCTTTTAAAGTGTCGCTTATCGATAATAAAAATGTATGTACTTTGTTGCCATTGCACGGGCATGCGCAATTTTAAAGCATGTCATGTTTGGTATCTGTTTACTTGGCGTAACATCATCTTTTATATATTAGCAAACAATTGGGCAATATATTGTGTTTTTGTGAAATGTAAAAAATGTCAACACCCACCGTTTTATTCTCTACGGCCTCTGCTTTAAAAAAAAAAATATAATGTTTGGGGGTTCAAGTAATTTTCTAGCAAAAAAACTGTTTTTTCATGTCACAAAAAGCTTGGCTTCAAGAGTGGGTGATGTGTGGCATAAGCTTCTAAAAAAAAAAAAAGACCGACAATTTTAAGAAAAAACAGACTTTTTGCTATTAACCACCTCCCGCCCGCCATATAGTAATATGACTGGTGTAAGGTGGTTCTCTCGTTCTGGGAGGACGTCACATGATGTCCTCCCATTCTCACTGCGGATGCACGGCTCAGGGAGCGCGCAGTGCGGTGATCGGCGGTGCGCTGTGTCCCTCGGACACAGCCGATCACCGATCACGGAAAGAGCCGAAGATGTCTGCTCGGTCATGTGTCCAATCACAGCTGATCACATGTAAACATGGAAATGCTGGTTTCCTCTCAAGCTGTCACGCTGAAAGCTCGAGAGGAGAGGAGAACCGGTAATCGTCTTTCCACGAAGGGGACATGTACACTGATCATCAGGGCACTGATGATCCGTGTGCCCTGATGATCAGTGTAGCCCCAGCAGTGCCACCTGTCAGTGTCCATCAGTGCCTCTTGCCAGTGCCTACCAGTGCACATCAATGCCACATATCAGTGCCCATCTGAGCTGCCTTTTAGTGTCACCCATCAGTGCCAGTCAGTGCCACTTATCAATGCCAAGCAGTGCTGCCTCTCAATGCTTCCTATCAGTGCCATATATCAGTGCCATGTATCAGTGATGCCTGTCAATGCCCATCAGTGCCACCTATCAGTGTCCATCAGTGCAGCCTTGTTAGTGCACATCAGTGAAGGAGAAAAATCACTTATTTACAAACTTTTTTAACAAAAACTAAGAAACGTTTTCTTTTTAAAATTTTCAGTGGTTTTTGGTTTGTTTAAGAATAAATTTAAAAACCCAGAGGTGATTAAATACCACCAAAATAAAGCTCTATCTGTCACAAAAAAATAAAAATTTCATATGGGTACAGTGTTGCATGACCGCGCAATTGTCATTCAAAGTGCGACAGCGCTGAAAGCTGGAAATTGGCCTGGGCAGGAAGGGGGTATAAGTGCCCTGTAGGCTAGCAGTTAAACATGTCCAGTAAAAAAATTTAAAAAAGATAAAGGATTAAAAATCCCAATACGTGTAAATTCATTGGTTTATGTGAAAGTTATAGCATCTACAAAAGACGGTATAGATACTAAAAATTTTTTTTAATACTAGTGACGGAGGCGATCAGCGACTTATAGCGGGACTGCGGTGAGCTTTCTGACACTGGGGGCGAACTGACTGTCACTGACATTCCCAGTGACACTAATACAGTGATCAATGCTAATAAAAATGCACTGACACTGTACTAATGGCACTGGACAGGAAGGGATTAACATTTGGGACGATCAAAGGGTTAACTGTTTGCTGTGTACTGTTTTACTGTGTAAGCACATTGCTTTGTATTGCTCTGCAGAGCAATGCATAGCAATGTGCAGGAGCTGACGGGAGAGATCTGTATTGTTTACATACAGGTTTCTCCCTCTCGTTGATTGCCGGGTGCCAGTGGGGAATCACTGGCCGGGACCCGGTGATTGACAGGTGAGGCCGCCAATGGCAGATGAAAATAAGTGAGATGGGAAAATTTTTGGTTTTCATTTAGTTGCATAATAATTCTGCACACATAGATATTCTCCTAAGAAAGCCAACACCTCACTTTATTAAATATTCAGGTTTGAGGTTTATTAACATTTTGGATTGACTGAGAGCACTGTAGTTGTTCAGTAATGAAATGAATCCTCAAAAATACAACTTGCCTAATAATTGTACACACAGTGTAGCAGCAGCATTCATAATAAACCTGAAGGGTATAAAGGTTGGCTCATTAGAAGAGAGCTGCAATAGTCAATGCAGGAGTTAGCCAGGGAGTGACAGTCATGGCCAACAATATTGGCACCCCTGCATTTCTGTCAGATAATGCACCATTTCGCCCAGAAAATTGTTGCAACTTCAAATGTTTAGGCATTCTCATGTTTACATACAGTTGCAAGAAAAAGTATGTGAACCCCTTGGGATTACGTGGAGTTTTGCATGAATTGGGCATAAAATGTGCTCTGAATGTCATCTAAGTCACAACATAGAAGAACACAGTCTGCTGAACATAATACTACACAAACATTAGATGTTCCCATGGTTTAATTGCACATAACATGTAAAATAATTCATTCACAGTGCAGGGAGGAAAAAGTATGTGAACCTTTGATTTAATAACTGATTGACCCTCCTTTGGCAGGAATAACCTCAACCAAACGTTTCCTGTAGTTGCAGATCAGACCTGCACAACGATCTGGAGTAATTTTGGACCACTCCTCTTCACAAAATTGTTTCAGTGTAGAAATATTCTTGGGATGTCTGGTGTGAATCGCTCTCTTAAGATCATGCCACAGCATTTCAATGTGGTTGAGGTCAGGACTCTGACTGGGCCACTCCAGAAGGCGTATTCTGTGCTGTTGCAGCCATTGTTTTGAAGAATTACTTGTATGCTTTGGGTCATTGTCCTGTTGCATCACCCATCCTCTGCGGAGCTTCAGTTGGCGGACAGATGGTCGTACGTTTTCCTGCAAAATGTCTTGATAAACTCTGGAATTCATTTTCCCATCAATGACAACAATCCGTCCAGGCCCTGAGGCAGCAAAGCAGCCCCAAACCATGATGCTCCCTCCGCCATGTTTTACAGTGGGGATGAGGTTTTTGATGTTGGTGTGCTGTGCCTTTTTTTCTCCTCACATAGTGTTGTGTGTTCTTCCCAAACAACTCAATCTTGGTTTCATCTGTCCTCAGTATATTTTGCCAGTAGTGCTGTGGAACATCCAGGTGCTCTTTTGCAAACTTCAAACGTGCTACAATATTCTTTTTGGACAGCAATGGCTTCCTCCGTGGTGTCCTCCCATGTACTCCATTCTTGTTTAATGTTTTCCTTATTGTAGATGTGTCAACAAAAATTTTAGCATGTGTCAGAGATTTCTGTAGGTCTTTAGCTGACACTCTGGTATTCTTCTTTACCTCATGCAGCATTCTGCGCTGTGCTCTTGCAGTCATTTTTACAGGACGACCATACCTAGGGAGAGTAGCAACAGTGCTAAACTTTCTCCATTTGTAGACAGTCTGTCTTACCGTGGACACATGAACATCAAGGCTTTTGGAGATACTTTTGTAACCCTTTCCAGCTTCATGCAAGTCAACAATTCTTGATCATAGGTCTTCTGAGAGCTCTTTTCTGCGAGGCATGGTTCACATCAGACAGTGCTTCTTGAAACCAGTAAACCCAAAACAGGTGTGTGTTTTTTAAGGGCAGGACAGCTGTCAGCAACACATCCAATATCATCACACTGATTGGAGTCAAGGTTGGCTCACTCCTGGCTCCAATTAGCTCTGGGAGAAGTCATTAAGCTAGGGACTCACATACTTTTTCCTCCCTGCACTGTGAATGTTTACATGTTATGTGCAATTAAACCATGGGAACATCTAATGTTTGTGTAGTATTATGTTCAGCAGACTGTGTTTTTCTATTGTTGTGACTTAGATGACGTTCAGAGCACATTTTATGCCCAATTCATGCAAAACTCCACGTAATCCCAAGGGGTTCACATACTTTTTCTTGCAACTGTAGTTAGTCTGGCTGAAAAAAGACAAAAGTCCATCCAGTTCAGCCATTAAAAAAAAAAAAAAAAAAAAAGAAGTTATCCTATACCCACAGTTGATCCAGAGGAAGGCAAAAAACCCAACATAGCATGAACCAATTTGCTCCTGAGAGGAAAAAAATGCCTTCCTGATCCCCCGAGAGGCAATCGGATATTCCCTGGATCAACTTTACCTATAAATGTTAGTATCCAGTTATATTTTGTGTATCTAGGAAAGAATCCAGGCCTTTTTTAAAGAAATCCACTGAGCTGGCCAGAGCCAACCTCAGGGTGAATAGCTCTACACCACGTTCACTATATGAACCACTGATGTATTTATACATGTTGATCATATCAACAATCAAACCATATGTTTGTTTGTATTGGTATGACACAAAAAAGCGGAGAAATAAAATGCCAAATCTAACACATTCCACGCAAAACTCCAAAAATGGACTGGACAAAAATATTGGCACCCTTGATTTAACATTTGGTAGCACACCCCTTGGAAAAAATAATTGAAATCAATTGTTTTCTGTAACAATCAATTAGCTTCTTACACCTCTAGAATTTTGGACCACTCTTCTTTCACCAACTGCTCCAGGTCTCTCAGATTGGAAGGGTTCCTTTTCCCAACTGCTGTTTTGAGACTTCTCCACAGGTGCTCTTATGGGATTGAGATCTGGACTCCTTGCGAGCCAGTTCAGTAATCTCCAACGCTTTGTCTTAAACCATTTTTGGGTGCTTTTTGATGTATACTTTGGGTCATTGTCCTACTGTAAGACCCATGACCTCTGACGGAGACCTAACTTTCTGACACTAGGCCCTACATTGCACCCCAAAAAAGACTGTCTTGACAGTCTTCAGATTTCATAATGCCATGCACAGTTTTTTGTAGCTGCTGACTTATTTTTTGACCGCGTGAGTGTAACTTCGCTTTAAATTTGTCTGGAAGTTGATCGAGGTTCTTTATTCACCATTTGAACAATCCTTTATTGCAGTCTTTGATACATTTTTCTCTTTCATCCATGTCCAGGGAGATTAGCTACAGTGCCATGGGCTGTAAACCTATTGACAATCTTGCGCACAGTGGACACAGGAACATTAAGATCTCTGGAGATGGACTTGTAACCTTGAGATTGTCCATGCTTTTCCCCAGTTTTTGTTCTCAAATCCTCAGACAATTCTTTGCTGCTCTGTCTCTTTTTCATGTTCCATTTGGTTAATTGATAAAGGCAAGTTTAATTACAAATTACAGGAGCATCAGAAACTTGGAATGCAATTATTTTTTCGAAATTGTGAGACGGTGCCATTAATTTTTGTCTAGTCCATTTTGGAGTTGTGTGGAATGTGTCAGATTTGGCTTTTTGTTTCTCCCCTTTTTTGTGTGTCATACCAAGGCAAACAAAAGAAATAAACATGAGAATGCCTAAACCTTTGTAATTGCAACAATTTTCTGGGCAAAGTGGTTCATTATCTAACAGGAATGCAGAGGTGCCAGTTTTTTTGGCCATGACTGTAGCAGCTTTGTAGTGTTAAGAAGGGTCAAATTATGGAAATGTTATGGAGTGATTGGATGTAGAATTTGAAGGAGCGGTTAGAGTCTTGGATTGCATCTAGCACCTTGGCATGTATGGAGTGACCTGATAGTTGTAGATCTTGATGGTAAAGTTGGGGTAGGGGAATCAAAAATAACATGAGATCAGTTGTTAAGAGATTATGTTTAAAGTGGTTGTAAACCTCAGAGATGAAATATGAAGAAAGCACTGGAGGAAGTGTCATTTCTGTCCACTGCTTTATTCCTCTCTGCTATCGTAAAAGGATTTACGAGCACTTTAAGGAAATAGTGTAACATCCATATTGATGCTCAACTCAGTAATTTAGTGATGCACAAAAAGATTGAAGAGGGTAGCTGAGGAGTAGAAAGAAGAGTTGCGTGTCAGCAGTGTAGAGGTGGTATTGGAAGTGATGGGAGGTTTTCAGCCCAACCAGGGAAGTGATGTAGAGGGGGAATAGATGGGGCCTGAGGACAGATCAGAAACAGGAAGAGGTGAAAGAGTTTTAGGTGTCACTTAGTGTGCCTAGAGAGGTAG